AATAAAGCTCTCTCTTCTTATTCTCTGCTTACAGTCCTGAGAGAAATTGGTACTATTGCAAGCTCAACCTTTAATTTGAAACAAACTAATAAAGCTCTTACCTCTGTTCCTACAGGCTGAGTGCCAGGAGGGAAGCTTTACCCATCAACAGTGCAACTGAAGTGGGCAAGCAGAGGCATCAGGGCTAGCAGCCTCCAGCCCCAGGGCAAGGGGCACGGAGAGGCATGGAGGGAATGGGAGAAATCTCTTCGAGGGCCCCAAGGAACGGAGTGAGAGGAGAGGGCCCAGAGTTGTGCACCTGGGAATCCTTTCCCAGTGCTTCAAACTGGCCTTAACGAAGGAAGCGCTTTGTCATGTAGGGGACACGACTTTCTGCTTCTAAAAATACCTTTCCAACATAGTAGGGAGGTAGAAGCAAACACTGTGCAGAAAGAAATTAGGTCAGAAAGGCAGTGTGGCACTGGGATAGCTTTCCATATTCTTAATGAAGGTTATTAAGAATTTGGGGGGAAGTATTGTGTCTGATAAACAGAGAATCAGAGAATCTAATCATCAAGGTTGGAAAGACTGGATATTAGGAAATACGACTTCTCTGAAAGGGTGGTCAGGCACTGCAATGGGCTGCCCAGGGGGGTGGTGGAGTCCCCTTCCCTGGAGGTGTTCAAGGAACGTTTGGATGTTGTGTTGAGGGATATGGTTTAGCGAGAACCATTGGTGATAGGTGGATGGTTGGACTGGATGATCTTATAGGTCTTTTCCAACCTTGGTGATTCTGTGATTCTGTGATTCTGTGACTGCCAGGATCATCTGCTCAACCACCAACCCATAGTGACTGATCCAGACCATGTCCCTCAGAGCCACATCCACACGTTCCTTGAATGCCTCCAAGCACAGTGACTGCATCACCTCCCTGGGCAGCCTGTGCCAATGCCTCAACACTTTTTCTGAGAAAATTTTTTTTCCTAATATCCAACCTGAACCTCCTCTAGTGCAACTTAAGGCCATTACTTCTCATCCCATCACTGTTACCTGGGAGAAGAGGCCGACTGTCACCTCACCACAACCTCCTCTCAAGTAGTTGTAGAGAGCAATGAAGCCTCCCCTGAGCCTCCTCTTCTTCAAACAGTTGCAGCTCCCTCAATTGCTCTCACAAGTCTTATGGGTGAGCAGAGGGATAATCCTGTGATTTTTCTGTAAATTTTGAACTTTTAATATAGTACAGACATTTTTAAAAGAGCCATCTTTTGTACACTCAAAACAAGAGATAGAGGTGAAAGGTGGAAGCCCCAGATTTAAATTCCAGCTTTCCCTCTTAGAGTTTTTTTTCATGGATTTGTTGTTTCTGTTTTTGCATACAGAAGAATTACAATCACATTTTATTAAGGAAGCAAAGTGAGTGTGAAGATAAAATAAATGTGTTGACTGAAATTCTGCCTGAGAGGCAGATATTTTGATGGATGGTGACAGGCAATGCCCCAGGTCTCAGCATGGTTAGTCACCAACAAGGAATACTCAGCATGCACATCACCCAATTAGCATTTGGGAATAGCTTTCTGTACTTAGTTTTCCTTCTTTTTATACAGAAATGTTTACACCTAGTAAAAAATCCTTTCTCCTTGCATAAATTTCTTGATCTGTTGGGTTTTTTTCCCCTCACAAAATGAGACTTATGTAAGTATCATCACTTATAAGCTTGTTCTTCACTCACCAAAATGCATGATCATGTTCACAATAATGGAAACTGAGTTTATGCATCAAAAGAGACCATAAGTAATTTAATTACAGCCCGTTATTTATAATTCTATTGAGGCAGAAATGATGATAGCTTTTTCTTTTAACCAGAGGCTGTGTTTTTTGTGTAACTACAGAAATAATAGAAGGTACATTCTATTCTTATGAGATTTGTAATTGTAATATTTAGTCTTCCAGAAGTCCTTATAACTCATAGATATTGTGCCAGTGATAATGCAGATTTGCCCATTACTGGATATCTTTTCAGCCTAGTTTTTAAATCCATCAGGAAATTTCTTGGTTTTCAATTTAAGTATTTGTTGTTGTTGTTTTTGCTTAGCTTTATTGCTGGTTTTAATATTTTTAATTTTTCTTTAGCTCTTTTATGCACTACACTGAGGAAGATGTATCCCAATTATGCTATCAGTAAATCTGTATATTATTCTTATATTTCTATTTCAACCCTTCTGCTGCTTTTCAGAAAAGATGCACTCCTGCTGTGATTAGTTTGTGTGATATAAACCTCAGCCATCAGATGTGACTGCAGACAGGATCAGCACCACATCTCTGATCAGCTCTGTTTAACATAAGTCAGATTTGATTAAAAAGTGTGATAGGATTTTTTCTTCCTTTCTGGATAGGTTATCCATGGTTTTTTTGGTTTTTACTTGCAGGACTCTTGGCTGCCAGCTTAATCTCTGAAAAATAACTCCTATGTCCATGTAGTCTAAACAGTAGACCTGATGGGCAAGAAAAGAAGATTTTGAGCACTGTGCTGCTTTGTGAGTAAGGTTCTACTGTCCCACTCTTGATGAATGATGAACTCCTGGAAACAGCTGCATGTTGTGAGTGCCCCTTCTGTTCATGGAAGAGCAGGTTCCTAAGTGGGTGTGCTTTACATGTCCTAATTACAATGATTGTCTCAATTTTTCAGATAAAGTGAAGTCAGTGAAGTGCTTACAAGGCTTTCATTGTCTCTTACTGATTGAGATTTTTCTGGTTATTAGTTTGTTTGTTCATGTTTCTTTACTGTCCTGTTTCTCAGTAACAGTGCAAAAACACTAAAGAAATGGTTTACAAAGACACTTGGAACTGCAAGTCATGTGTGTACCCAAACTAGTTTGGTTGTACATGTTGTTGTGGTGGAAGCCCATGGCAACGACTTGCTTACAGGTAGGAACAACCTTTAAAAAGTCAGTCTTTCATTTGACTTTGTGTCAGCTTCTATGTACAGTGACAAGTACAGCAGGCATTAGAATAACTTACTGAATTGCTGGTGGTTGTGGGACAGAATACATTGACCATATGTCCTGGTGAGAACTGCCTGGAATTGCTTACTCTGTCTTTTATTTTTAATTTACTTACCATAGATTAGCTCTATGACAGATCTCGAGGACCTTGCAGAATTACAAAATGCCATTGGTTTTAGCATTATACCCACTACTCAGAACTCACTGACAAGGAACAAGAAGAGAAGTAAACAACTGCAAGTTCAGACTGCTTACTGTAACATACTGCTCAGATGTGCCTCAGAACTACCCACTGTTCCATCAAGGAACCAGACACAGGTTAGGAGTGTGTTGCACACCCTGCTGTCTGTGGTGGAATGCCAATTCTGGTATCGTCAGCTACAGAGGGACAGCCCATGTCAGCACCCTCAAGAGTTCTGAGGTATTGGAAGAAAATGTATCTTCAAGCAAGTAGTTGATGATGGCTAGGAAGGGACACAAGGAAGGATTTGGATACGAGGATCATATCTTAAAAAATAATAAAGTGGATGTTGGATAGGATTAAAACCACATTTTTTAGGAGTAGTTCTGAAGATCTTAACTGGAGAAGAACTGGGTTTTACCCAGTTTTTTTTTTTGGTATTTTGATATAACAGAACTAGTCATCTCTACAGAAACAGATCCTTGTGTTCTGAAGTGCACTGACACTCAGAGATAAGAGCTGCACTTAGTGCTGTGCTGCTGCTCAAGTTGCTCAGTGCAGAGCTGGGCACTTCTTTTGCTGCACGGTGTTGTAAAACAAGGCTCATTACAGTAATATAAATTTGTTTTTGTTGTCCCCAGTCTTCTCAAAGTCATGCAGTCATGGATGCGTTGTGGAGATGAAAGCATCTAGAACTATGATCCACAGGAAAACAAAGGTGAGCATCAAAGTAAAAACATAAAGAGCTGTCTTAGAAGTAAGCATAACGGGCTGGAACTCGTTTCTTGTGAGCCACTTGAAAGTTAGAGAATTATAAAAATATTTATGGGCCAAGTTGACTTCCTTTGCGTATTCCTGAGAGACCATAAATGTGTATTCTTTAAGCAGCTTTGTCTGCTTGCTAGGAGCCTCATTACGTGTTGCCTATTTTCTACCGTCTCTTGTAAAGGACCCAAACCTGCTTAAGAGTCTGTTACTGCAAGTACTACCCTGTAATTGAAATAGAGCAACCACAGTAGCTTGCTGTTTCTGAGTTAGTTTCTCAGTAGGATGGAAGCACTGCAGGTTAGTAGTTTTCAACTGGTGAGCATCTTTGCCAGGTGTTGCAGCAGGTGCTTTCCTCAAATTTAGAAAAGGTACTTGTAGCATCATTTTGCAGTACTTGGTATGGTGTTTTCATTCTGGATGCACAAAAAAGAATGAAAACTGAAGGTGTAATTGCATGAATTGACTGCTTTCAGCTGAAAAGGTCAAGGTGGATAGAACTAGATTCCCGAATCCACAATCCCTGCAGTGCTGAGCATTTGTCCATCTTTCCAACTCAGAGATGTGTCGGTGGGTGGTCTGCTCTTACTGAGAGCAGAGCTCTGGTTATTTCAATGTTAGTTTTTCTGCTGATTTCAGTGGAGCCTGATTTTTATGTCAGATTTATGTCAGATTATTCCACCTATCTCAAGCCACATTAGCAAGAATCACAGCTTTAAGGTCCTGGTGTAGAACAAAAGGAAACTGTTAACTCCATCTGGCTATTAATATTTTGGCTGTTGTGAGATTGCTATGGGGAAGTGCCTTTCTGGCTCTGTTAGCTACAGAGTGAGCTTATGGCATAGGTGTCTGTCTTCAGAGAGATTTGAAAAATAATATGTAAATGCTTAAATGTTTGTTAACTTCAGAAGTCTTGGTACACACATCTGCTTAGATTTAGGTACAAAATACTTGCCACTTGTATTTGATTTTTAAACGACTTAAAATTACATAACACTTTGTAAACATCTCATGGTTTTCAGGTATTTAATGAAGAATTAAGAATTATGGCTACAATACCTGAAATTGCTGCAAGGAAGCCAATTTATTGACAGTGTGACCCAGCTGCCTAGTTCATCAATTTTACTATTTTTTTTCCCCCTTTTTTCCATAATCATTTGTTTTCTACTAGTTATGGTCTAACCTGACAGGCAACACAGCCCCACAGAGCTGTTCATTCACTGCACCACCAGCAGGATGAGAAAGAGAACTGACAGAGCATGAGAACTCGTGAGTTAACATAAGGATAGTAAAATAAGAAAGAAACAAAGGAAAAAAAAAAGAAAAAAGAGTAAAAACCAAGTAATACAGTTTCTTGCTGGCTGATGTCCATCCAGTCCCCAGGCAGCAGCCCACCTAGCCAGCTCCCCCAGTGTCACTGCTCAGCATGGCGATGTTTGGTATGGTTGATTTGACTTGGCTGTCCTGGTTCTGCCCCCTTCCATCTCCTTGGGCAACCCCAGCAACTCACTGTTAGGGAAGCACATGAAGCTGAGACATATTTAAGAGTCATAGAATCATAGAGTTGTGAATCATAGAATGGCTTATGTTGAAAAGGATATGAAAGCCCCTCCAGTTCCAACCCAGCAGGTCTGCCCCCCACCAGCTCAGGCTGCCCAGAACCCCATTCAGCCTGGCTCTTCCAGGGAGGGGTCTCCCACAGCTCTCTGAGCAGATGTGCCAGTGCCTCGCTGCCCTCTGAGTAAAGAGATTTTTCCTCATATCTAATCTAAATCTCCCCTCTTCCAGTTTAAAACCATTCCCCCTTGTGCTATCACTATTTGCCTATGTAAAATATCCCCTCTCCCCCTCCTGTTTATACGCTCCCTTCAAGTCCTGGAAGGCCACAGTGAGGTCTCTCCAGAGCCTTCTCTTCTCCAAGCTAAACAAGCCCAGTTCCCCCAGCCTTTCCTCACAGGAGAGGTGCTCCAGCCCTCTGATCACCTTGGTGGCCCTCCTCTGGATCCAACAGCTCCTCATCCATTCTGTGCTCAGGGCCCCAGGCCTGGATGCAGTACTCTGAACGGAGTCTCCTTGGCTTAGCGTGAACACTGTTCACCTACAGCTAAAACAGCAGTGTGTTATCAGTGCACAGATCCAAAACACAGCACAATCCCAGCTAGGAAGAAGAAAATGAACTGTATGCCAGCTGAAACCAGGACACTGTTTCAGACTTCCTCCTCATTATTTATCATCGCCTTAGGAATAAAACATCATTAATGAACATCACATCAATAATGGAACATCAGACACTATTTACTTTTCTGTTCAAGTTGTAGTGTATAGGCCAGGGTGACAAATCAATTTATTATGTGCAAGATAATCTCATTTAGTAAGAGCATGGAATTAACAGTGCCAGCTTTTTTCTCGTTTACAAAGTGATGGAACCATGGCGAAACATAAAGAGGAAAAATACGATTTTAACTTGTTACATCCTGTCAGTTTATCTTGTATTACTTGTGATATACTTACAGGAACATCTAATAATTTTACATTTCTTTTCCAAGGGATGAGGGAAGTAGATGTGATTACCTTTCATTAAAAATAATTTCCATCAGGAAAGACTGAGTCTTGGTACGGGGAGATAACACATGGTATATTTATCAATGACTCCTCCAGTTTTCAACCTGCTCCCCATTTATATCACAAAAAGTGTTCCAAGACATCCAAGGAAAACCCTGGGATAAGAAGATATCTGGAGCTTTTCAATATCTTTCTCTTCAATATCTTTCTGTTTAGAGAAAAAATGGATGATGGAATCAAGATCTCTAGCACTTTCTTGCACCATGACAGACCAGTGCTTGCTGGTTGATTACAGCAATTTTGCCAAAAGATACATTGAATCAGATGATTGCAGTTACACAGTGAATTGCCTGAAGTTCAATTATTTCAAAGAAATGCAGAGAATATGTTATTGATCTGGCTGACTCAAATACATACGGATGCCTCCCCTCTAATCCACTGAAGAAATATATTATGAATTCCCATATATATTGAATTCTTTCCCAAGTTTATTAGAAATTCTCAGTGTTTTGTGTGTTTTGAAGAATATATCTGTTCAGTGAAAGGAAACTCGATCATGTTCTAATGTAAATATTACTCTACTCCACAGATTTTGTGTAACACATTCACTCATATTCACTCACGTGTCTGCCAAAGCCCAGTGGATTCTACAAAATGGAACCCCTGGCAGCTGCTGCAAGAGGAGATTTTTGGAAAGAGCTGGAAGAATGCTGGCAGCGTCTGTGCAAATGTATAGACAGTGACTTTTGGAGTCTTCTTTCTGTCAGAGTTCGTAGAGAAAAGCAAGCTATTTTTCCCCCAGTGTCTGTTTTTCCTCACAGTTTCCCCATGTGCCATCTGGGACACATTGTGTGAAAAAAGTTGTCATGGATGAGATCTTATTGACATTTGTCACTGAAGATGCATCCTCATGTATTCCTCCCAGCTTAATAATTGAATAACATCCTAAATGAGAGCTTGTTAAACAACTCTGAGTCCTATCCTGCAAAACCCATGAAACAGATTCTTAACCTGGCAAGATTTCGTAACTTCCTGAAGGAAAAACCCATGCACCATCTTGTGCAGTGAGCTGGAGATAAAAGGACCTGTGAATGCACATGTTTTGTGCTGGTCCCAGTGTGACGCTCATTTCTGAAGCTCACTCCAGACACAGGCAGTGCTCATCTTTAAGGAAATAAGGGTATTCTAATCACCTTTATCATGACTTTCTCTGAGAAAACTGTTTCACTCCACAGGCAACTCACATGGCAATTACTGCCATGCACACTGCTCTATAGCAGTATGTAGGCTGCATCCCACACCTCAACAGTCCTTTGCAGCGTGTTTTTAAATGTACAACTGTTGCAGTCATCAAGATTGTTTATCTATAGCTTTGAATTACTCTGAAGGTTACGTACCTTTACTTTAAGGCACAACATTTTATTAGCATTTGGGATAATATAGTAAGATTTTCATTTATTGTTTTGTTTGTTTGTTTGTTTTTGTTTTTTTTCTGGCATGGTTAATCACAGAATCACAGAATTGCCAGGGTTGGAAGGGACCTCAAGGATCATGAATCTCCAACCCCCATACAACTGTATATGAACTTAAATAAATTTTATAGTTAATCTTATTTTGTTCTTGAGTTCTTGATTGTATTTTTTTGAAGAACACTGGGCAATCTCGTAAGAGCAAATGTGGCACTTTTGCCCTCTGTACATTTAGTACTATCAGTACTAGGAGATGTGTCTCATCTTGCATGTGGTAAAACGGGTCACAAAGGCCAGGCATCCATTTGTAGGAGTGAGCTTATGAATCTTTCAGAAAAAACACCTGGTCGCTATTATTGCACAATGATAAATCATCTTGATACAGTAAAAAGAACTGTAGCCTTCCACAAAAAGAAACCCTAATTTTCTTCCTGATAAAACATTCCTTGGGAAATTTTTATTAGTTTATGGAAAGGCTTTGGAAGACCAATAGTGAAATAATGAATTCTTCATAAATTGGATCTGTTAAATGCATTGCAGCAGCCAGTGTTCAAAGTAAACGACTTACATTATACACTGGGCATGCTGTGACAGCCTCTTCCTCCAGCTAAGAAATCCATTAAATTCCTCAGTGTATAGATCACTTGGTCACAGAGACATTCGTACCTCTGAAGATGAGTTGGACAGCACAACAGAATAGAAATGCAAAAATATTTTCTCTTTTTATCCCATCAGATTAATTTATTAGCACGATTTTACATACGTACCTTTTTTTAAGCGTTGTTTAATTTAATCAGCTTCAAGCGTGCCTTCAATTAAGCGATGAGTAACTCTTTTACAACAGAAGAATACAAAAAGACCCCTCAGCCACACCTGTAATGCGGCATTGAAACCATCAGGACAAGGACTGAAGGAAAGGGTTGACCAGGACAGAAGGAATGGCGCAAACACGGAGCCCACAAGCTTACTTCTGTGTTCCATGTAACATAAACCCTGCTAATTTGGAACTAGATGATGACAGAACACTGTTGCTTTATGTTATCACTGCATATCCTGAGGAGAGCCACAGTCTCAAAGGCCTTTGTTATCTCCCTGCATATAAGATCTGCCTTCACACAATACCTCATTTATTGCCATTGCCTTGTGTGTAAACGACAGAATTCAGATGGACAGATAAGAGATGGTTATAAACGGCTGGTTGTCACACGGCAGTTTGCACCCACAGTGGTTTTCACAGACCTAAACAAAAAGATTTAGAAGTGGTTGAATTACACTGGCAGGACTGCTATGTGCTGATAGGGCATCAGTCAGCTTTCTCTCTGTGTTTGGCATAGCCAAGGGGCTCTTTGCCTGCGTGATGTAATGGGTATTGAGCAACGTCAGGTGTGTTCACACCATCACCGGCTGATCGGAGTAGTGAGTCAATACAACACAACAAAACAAAATCAAAGAGTCAGATTCTGTTCTCACTGACACATAATTGAAAATGAGGTAATTTAGGATTCATGCTGCTGTCTGGGAAAACAAAAGCCCAACGAACTGAAGTGTAGTCTCATCTTGTGAGAAATATTATTTAACACCTGAGCAATATTAGGTAAAAAGGAGAGCAATGGTAGCTGGTTAGGTGTTTAGTCTTAAGGACAGTTTATTCCAGCTTCATGTCTGTAACACAAAAGGCATTCTCTCTTGATCTGATTGTTTTTAAAGCAGTAATTTGAAGACAAAGATTTGGAGCAGGTAGTCGTAGTGCTTGTTTAAAAACCTAAATAGCTTGACTTGCATTTCCACTCTGTTGTTTAGATTTCCAGTTTCTTACGTTACAGGGTGGCCCATACCAGCTCCCAGATTCCAAACCATAGCAGAATAGAAACTTTCCTTCCCTTTCTTCTAAGAGCTGCATCCCGTAAGTCTCCACATGAGGACCAAATGTGGCACTGATGAGTCCACGTTTTCTCTGAGGAAGAATTTTTCAAAACGGATACAAATTCTATGTGGTAGGTTTCATAGAATCATAGAATGGCCTGGGTTGAAAAGGACCACAATGATCATCTAGTTTCAATCCCCTGCTGTGTGCAGGGTCGCCAACCAGCAGACCAGGCTGCCCAGAGCCACATCCAGCCTGGCCTTGAATGCCTCCAGGGATGGGGCATCCACAACCTCCTTGGGCAACCTGTTCCAGTGTGTCACCACCCTCTGTGAGAAAAACTTCCTCCTAAGGTTTGCTACTCTTCATTTCTATTTTCCTGCTTCATTGTGGTGTGAAGCATAATTATGAATGAGCTGCCATGATAGCAGCTGACTAAAGAAGAACTGCCTGCCCAAAAAAGTACAGCTCAGCCACTTTGTAGTGAGCTCTGCTGCTTAGAAGTACGTATGAAAGTTGGATCTAGATGTGCTTTAAATCGTATTCACAGTATTTTTCTTCTTCAGAACAAATTTCCTCAGAGCACAGCACAGAGGTTCCATGCAGAAGATTGCTATTCCAGCACACAAACTTCATACTGTAAGCTGAAAAAGTTATTACAAAGTGATTCTTAATTGTAGCACTGAGCGCTGCCAAGAATTTGTATCTTAATCTGTTCCCTGCTGTTCACAGTTCAGGTGGACACTGTGAGGAGGAGCTGTTTTGCTGCACTCAGTGCCACTCTGGGGTAAAAGAAGCTGAAGGAGGGCACCTGTCAGAAGCACTGGCTCACAGCCTGGAAGAGCTGTGCAATTCACCTTGGATTTGGTTCTAACTAAAGTCTGTGTCTGTACTGCTAAATGAAAAAGGGGATGAGAAGCATGCCACAAGTTAAGCTAGCAATATCCCTGATTCTCCAAAGTGCTTCATAACCATCTAATGTCTGCACTTCTTGACAGAACCACCTTGCTCTCCCGAGCAATACTTCACCTTAATTTGCACGATCATTCATTCCTACAACAGTGTCTGAACGGGCAGTGGACAGCACTGCAAGGGGTTTGGCTCCTCCCAACCCCACACTGCCCCAACATGCTTTACATCCTTAAATGGCTGCAGATAACCTTGTGTTACAGCCTGTTTGTACAACACAGTATTCAGTGTCACTCTAAAACAGCCACTGTAAGTTTTTCTGCAACAGAGAATGGAAATGGACCAAAATCCTTGTGTCTAAGGCAATACGGGTACATGGTACCCAGCAGAGAGCCAGACACGAACCCATTCTTGGTCTGAACATCTGCTAGACAAAAAGGAAATTCAGAGCCATGTGATGGCAAGCAGAGAAGGCTGGCTAGAGTTTGCTTCATGTATTTGTGTCTGACTTCATTTTAAAATTTTAACTGTATAAACTGATATTAATTCCACATTGAAGATCAGCATAATGTGAGAGTTATTTCAGATATCTTGGCAAGCTTCATGGAATGGCAATTTTAAAAGAGGAGCACCAGGTTAATCCTGAAGTGCCAAACACCTGAACACAGCTCAGGAGCACTGTAAGGGTCTCCCCTCCACGTGAGCACTTGATTTGGGAATTCCCCATGGGAAGTACTTACCCAGCAAAGACTCTCCTGCTGGCAAGTGTTCCTAGAACCCCCGTGGCACCTCCGGGCCTGGAGGCACCCTGAGTGCTGACACAAGAGCTCTGCCTATGAACGTTTCCATTAAGCTTCCTGCTAAACTCCCTCAAAGAAGAGGTGGAAGATCCATTGTGGAGTGTGCATGCTGCAAGCACAGCCATTGCACAGCTATGGATGTACATTCGCGTTGTCCTTTGGCTGACAGAGCGTACGCACAGTTATTTTTGGCCAAAGCAAAACAGCAAATTATTCAAAGGAAGCTTGTGGGTACAGTGACTGAAAGGTTTCTGGAAATTTCAGCTAAATCATGAGAGATGAAGCACAACTACTTTATCTTTTGTTTCTTTTCATATAGCTTGCAGTTGGTACAGAGCACTTCTGGATAAAGGTTTCAAAGCTGTCATTCTTTTCTTGCCCCACAGACCTGAGAAGCCCCTACAAATATATTCCTTGTCTTCTATAAGTGAGAATCCATCACTGTGGGAAATCTGATGAATGCTATCACAGATACAAGTAGATTTGGGACACAGTAAGTAGAAGCAAAGCAGTTCTTCTTAAGGAAGTCTTAACACCTTTGGGGAGAACCTAAAAGATCCATGCCCAGGTGAAAAACAAAATCACATAAAATCATTAATCTTCTCTCCCTCTATTGAGGTTACACACGTGTAAAAATATTACAATCATTAAAGCAAACCAGGAATCCTAAGTCTGTGGGTTTATGTGAGGGGCAGGTGAGAACTGAGAAGAATAAAATCTCTTAGTATAGTTAATTTTTTAATGATTTTTTAAAGATGGAAATACTGAAAGTAGGTACCTGGGTAATACAAATATGCTTACATTCTGGACATGGGAAAATCAGGCAACCTCCCACTGCCCAACAATGCACCACAATGCTGTGGTTTTCACACACCTTAGGAAGCAGCCATTTTAGCACTTCAGGTGTTGACATCTCAGCCAGCATCACAGAACTTTCCGAAATACTAAGAAATTAATCTCACCTGAAAGAAAAATCCATTCCATCACGTTGCTGAGGGCATCACAGGCTGAAGAACTTTTTATGTTCAATATCCATCCAGCTTTCCATAAAACAAGTTCCAGCTGCAACTCAGAAACACAACTACATTTTGGGAAATAGCTTCACTCCTTCAACACCTCTTATTTCACTTCCAGAGCACATGATTTCCAATCTTTAAGTTCAGTTTTCTCTGCTTTTGGGAAACACTGGGGGTTGAGTGGGAATGTAAAACAGGGGCTTTGTGTCAACAAATGAAGATACCAAGAAATTTCTACAAGACAAATACTTGCTGTCTATGGCAGAGTTTTCCTGCACTGGTCTGTAGAATAGTGCTTTGGCAACAGAGTCAGCTTCTCAATAACCAGCACTCAGGACACGTGGTCTAGAAGGACAGTCAGACTGCATAGAGCCCATCACTGGGGACTGGAAGACTTTCTTCTGCAGTTATTAGAAAAGCACGCAGCCTCTCTCTCCACCCCTTCCTTCTCCCAAAGAAATATGCCCATATAATGCAAAGAAAAGCCCCAAACACCTGCCTGTCTGTGACATTGTCAAATTCTGAAACTTAACTAGATTGTTAACTAGAAACAGTCAGGCACCACTGAGCATCCTAACACTGCTTCAGCCCCAAAGTGGCAGGAAGGTGCATCATTGCTGAGGAGTCCTCACAAGAGCACAAGACTTCACAGCTCAATCCAAACAGATAAACTGATTCAAAAGGGGGATCTTTTATAGGTATTTGCATTTCCTTGGTCCCTGAAAGCCTAACATTTTAGTGTGCTCAAGAAGCAGCAGTGATGTAATGAATGTATTTTATAAATTCAGAATTTCATAGTAACAATCAGTAGTGACCTAACCAATTCAGTGACTGTGAAAATTACTTTCAGTTGCCTTTATCTGTAAGAACAAGCCATATTTTCAGATGTGCACTCACACAGATGGACATCCTGGTTTTATCTAAATAGGATGCAGCTCCCCAGTTTGACCTGATTCCTATCCACAGAACATTGACAATGGAAAATTTCAGTCAGGTTGTATCTTCCAAACTGCATTACCTGCTGACACCCACAGTGTTGCACTGCGCACTGATGAGGATATTTGTCCAACAGAAGTTACATCAGAAGTGGCCAATTTTAAGCAGACAGCTGTCTTCAACAAATCCATATCCATTGCAAACTTCACCTCCGTATTGGATCACTGCTCATTCTTCTTAGAAATGACCTTTTCTAAATGTGTTTCAAATTACTAAGGAAATTTCCAGGAAAAAAATACTACTAAAACGCAACATAACGTGTCCTCCTGTGTCTGTAGCTTACAATACAGTAAATGTATGAGGCTCTCAACTACCAGTCCACCTTATCTTTAGAAGAAACATTTCTGCCAATGGTTACGTTGTTCAGAATTAAAGAGTATTTCTATCC